ACCTTACCTTACCTTACCTTACCTTACCTTACCTTACCTTACCTTACCTTACCTTACCTTACCTTACCTTACCTTACCGACCGACCTACCTACCTACCTACCTACCTACCTACCTACCTATACCTACCTACACCTACCTATACACCTACCTACTTACCTACCTACCTACCTACCTACCTACCTACCTACCTACCTACCTACCTACCTACCTACCTACCTATGAATACATACATACATTCATTTCACGTAAGTTACATGCAGACATGCACTGTAATAAATGCAGCTTTATGCCTTTATGCATGAATTAGTTTGCTTTTACAGTATATACGCTTGCTGGTATACATATATACATGCGAACACACAGACACACACATGCAAGTATCTGCGTACAGACATATATGTATCTATATATATATATACACATTGTACACGCACTGCATATACATGTGTAAGTTGATGCGGTAGCTGCAAACATGCATAATACCTGTACGAGGAAAGGAGCACGGGTGAGCGTTCCTGTGAGTCTAGCTGGGGCTTGCTATCGTAGTAGTATAGTAGTGAATAATAGTCAACCGCACCTAGTGCGCGGTCTCATGAACTTGTGCGGGCTCCTTACAGCAGTCATGTCTTGGCCGTTTTGAACTGTTTCCATCAAAGAAAAACCTTCCGCGGTCCCTTGGACAAAGCCTGACTGCTCTCACAGAAGCAACGGATTTGACTTGTCTGGGATTCTTGAGCTGAGCTGCCGCTGCCACGCATCTCTGAGATCAGCTGTAGGGCCCTTTCCCACTGACCTCTGCAGACAAAGGGCAGCGATCGGCAGGGGTCTTGCAAATGTCGGACGGCACTATTGAAATCAAGAAAGGCATGGCGTTCAGCTTGGTCCATTCGACTAAGGGTGCAACATCGAACTGCGCGGCATTTTGGGGGTAGTCCAACCGTTTCCAAAATCTCGGAAGGAAACTCGAAATGCGGAAAGCCCGAAGGAATGGCCTTGGCCTGGAGGCACCAGTTGTTACTGAAAGTTGGTGAGTTAATGTATTGGCCTTAATAATTAGAATATGGTTTTTGGCCCCTTCTACTATACTTATAATAAGGAACCCCCAAAATGGTTTAGGTGTTTGTTTGGGCACCTGTATTAGCTTGGCATTCCCATGAACAACTGGTGAGAAGGACCCTGACTACCTTTGGAGCCGTGCGACGGCCCTTCTCGCAAGCGCTGATGGCAGCACTGTAGGTCACCACATTTGGAGGTACCTTGACCTGCATGCCAACACTATGAAAGTTTTTAGTAATATAGTGTATGTATGCCGAAAAGTGGGCCCATCTTGGCGAGGAGCAAGGATCCTTGTTATCGATATCAGCTGGAAGCCACTCGCCAAGGTAGCAGCATAATCGAAGTCATGTTAGTGTTCACAAGCATGTATCCCTCATCAGAATCATGATCGTAATGTCGACATCGAAGTGCTACAGTACCTTTTGAAAAACTGCAAGGTGTAAGCCCAGCAACCTCAGCAGGAAGTGCATCCCAGACAACAACATCGCATTGAACACTGACTATACATCGCCAAGACGAGAGAGAATCCCAGCAACAGCCCTATACAAAATACAACCCTAAAGCTCATAAGTGCATCTACATATACATATATATATATATATAACAAACACTAATATGAACAAAACGCCTCTGAAAGCCATGCGATAAAATATCCCTGGCCTTGTCCTCATGTCAAACAGAGAAATGCCACTTGTTGATTCATGATATTTTGGCTGAATCCGTGTTGAAGAATCTAAGCTGGCAACTCCACACAGACCAACAACAACATGGCGACCGCTTTTTCAACCTGTCCTATGGCAAACGCGGGCATTCTTTGTTACCATACACAGTCTCAACCCCCGAGCCTGAACAAGTTGTTGATTTAGGAAGACCAGACCCAACACATTCAATGTAACGGTCATCGCATGTCATCGCGCGGATTTTAAATCTGGATTAGAAGTAGAGATGAACAAACAAGGCTCTTCTATTGGCATGCCCGTCCACCTGACCCATGGAAGATAGGAGGCGAAGTGCCTGAAGCCAGCGCCGTCCCTCCTTGGTGGGCACGCCGCCAAGCAACTGCAACTATGCATCTGTACATGTATAGACACGTATGCCGGCTTGTATGTATGTGTATGTATGTATATATGTATGTATGTATGCATGTATTGTACACCATCTGGGTAGAGAAACAGTGATGAGGAAGTGCTGATACACCGACTTGCAGGTGAGCTCTAATCGTCAGACAAGAGAACCTCGCAGGCGCTGATCACGGTGCTATAGGACACCACCTAGGTGAACCCGCGAAGCGTCAGTAGCCGCTCCGGACTCCCAGGGGGGCCGAAGGCTAAAGTCAGGGAAAGGGTTCAAGGTCGACTTCAGACACGGCCCTTCTGATGCTGTTGGGGTGATGTTCTGTACTGAGGCTTGTGCGGGCGTACTGTAATCCAAGGTGCTTGGAGCTAGGATCCGGGTCTTCTGCTTAGGTTCCTGCGTTGCCTGCAGAGCCACATCAGGCTGCAGCTCGCGCCGCCGGATCTCCTTGGGAGCAAATGGCTTCGAGGTCTTCTGCTTGGGCCTGGGCAGTAGAACCTCGTTGAGCTGCTACTGGCACAATGATTGACCAGTGATGCTTGTCTTATTGCCGCCATGGGCACACGATCGTCACTGTACATTTTGCTTAGAAAACGCATGTCATGAAAGACACTTCCATGAACGCCCCGGGCACGCCAATCCTTCTTCAACTCTTGCTATACTCACACCGGAAAGCTTCTGGGGTAACCCTAAACCTGCCAGCCACAAAAAGAGTATTCAACTCTCTGGGAGACTCTAGCACGTTTTTGACAAATCACGGAGAAACATCCTAATTAAAGGGCTTTGAAGAGCAGGTTCCCACGAGGTTCCCTTCATCACAGAGGGCCTCCAGCAGCCGCAGCGCAGGCTTGGACTTCACGGCCCGCTGGCAGGCCTCGGGTTGCGAGGCTTTCGGCGCTCACACTCGGACAATCCAGGCGAGGCATATGGTTCGAGGTCTTGAAAGAAGTGAGACAAACTCACACTTGGGACCAAGACACAGTTCCACATAAGTAGAACCTGTGCGAGGGTTTAGGGTTTATGATGCTCTCACAACTCGGACAAACCAGGCGCGGTTCCGCAGGTTTGAGTCGGCCTGATACAGGCACATTAACCTCTGGCCACGACTATACAAGATCATCATCAGCACCATACCTATGATAGTGAATCAGGGCTGTTTTTGTCTGTGATCTTCACAAGTAGCAACGGCACCGCCCCACAGGGCCAGGCAGATGCTCTTGACTAGACTTGGGGGCTGCTTCCACTGGCTGTGTCGGCAATTGTTCGGCGATCCTTTAACAAGAAAGAGTACATAGAAGAATGATACTCATGATAATAAGAGTAATCACAATGACTATGACAAGAAAAACAACTATAGCAGCAAAACAAAAGACATAACAATATATTCGGCTCCTGTCTTCTCGCGGTTTGTACTGTCTGGTGAACTTGCGGATGCTACTGTAGGGGCCTTAATTATTAGAAAAGGGTTTAGGGTTTAGGGTTTAGGATGTAGGGGCCTCAATAA